AGCAAAACATCTATCAAGGTAGGAGAAAATGATGACTCTCAGATAGAGGTAGAGGATGAAGCTCCTAATGGTAGCCAGAACAGGGAATGGTGTGTAGGTAAAATAATAGAGAAGTGGGAGTACAATCTTGAGGTGTTATTCAAGGAGAACTATAGATAAAATATATGTTAATTGACATCAGACTGTCCGGCTTGCTGGCCTGAGAAGTCGGATTCGGAAAGAAGAGGATGTGAAGCGGGCTTTTGTGAAGGGGTAAGTGACAATGTCGAAGAGAGTGGTGGTGGGAATGATGGTGGCGTAGCTGAGGAACCTTGAGTCACTGCAGCAGATGCGTAGGGGCTGATATCTATCAATAACTGTTCATCAGCTAGAGTTGTTAACCGAGCCGAGTCAACACTAACGCTATCAAACCCTGAGGTTTGCGAACTAGGAATCATAATTGCCTTTAAAGGCGACAATCCTGGTTGATTGAAAGAATTTGGATTTGAGCTAATGCGATCAACCCCACTAACAATGAGGCCGCCTCCGAAACCAGATATACCAGAGCTAGGGCCAAGTAACTCCGGCTCAAGGGGCTGTAAACAGGATGGACAGCTGAAACACCGCATCAGCCAATCGTCAATGCAGGTCCGGTGGAAGGTGTGAAGGCAAGGTAAATAGCGCACCTCGTCCCCGGAGCTAAGGTCGCACATGCATATGATGCATCTGTAGATACAAGCACAGCAGCGATAAAGGGTGGAGATAGAAAGGATGATTTTAATTTCAAACCCTTAAAACATCTACGTGGAGTAATAACAATAAGCATAAGTAGTCTCAGTGGGACTAGCTTTCAAACAAAATCTAAGTGATAGACGGATCCTGAAACGATCTTAGGTAAAAGATGTTTCGACTAATCAAGAAACATGCTATGAACAGGATAGACAAAATCTGTAAGGTACCGACGGATCAGATTTAGTAACAATATCCAAGCAATTTGACAAAAAAAATTTAGATTAAATGGGTAATCTATATTAACAAGATTGATCTCAGAAATCTGTGGCAAATCATCACTTGGCGAGCTGTCCACAACTAAACCAGCTTAATAACAAATGAGATGGTCCTAGCCGACTTTAGATTTAAATGTAAATTCGTTCGACTTGTGTAATGACGCATCTTGGATGAGTGCTTAAAAATTCGACCCCGTTTGAATTCATAATTTAAAATAATTCCCAAATACCTCACCATATGTCCCACACAAGTAGCCAAACCTCAAGTTGCATCCTTTAAAGATAAGTAAAAAAAATTCGTCAGCATGAGTCGCTGTTGGATCAATTTTCTTCTCCAT